GAACGATTGATTTAGTTTAAATATGCATGTTTGAACCTTGAGCAAACGAAAGTTTATCAAGTGATATACTAAGAGAGTGTATTTAAATTTTATGGGTTTAAATATAAATTTTTAAGTTTATATACAACAAAAAAAATTATAACTCTAGGTCAATTTCGTGTTAGTTTAATCAACACCAAATAATATTCAACACAAAAAGAATATTATATTGTAAATTAATATATTGTTTTAGCAAATTAACATTTAATATTTTATCTAATTTATCTTCAAATTTGTTGAATTAATATCAAATTAATTTTTATTGTTATTAAATCAATATTAAAATTCATTTAATCAATTTTTGGGAGTACTAAATTATATTATTTTTTTTGTATTAAAATTAGGGAAGGGTAATTTTTAAAATAATAAAAAAAAATTGGGATGAAATCTTCGCTTTCCGTTATCAATATTGATGGAAGAGAGACAAAAGAGGTTCGTGCGATGAATTTCAAACCTCAGAATATCAGGAACTCAGGGTATCTGTGTTTTTAACCCTAAATAGAATTACCGATTAATGTAGTCTTTCTTTCTCTACAAATCAAAGAACTTTCGGGACGTCACCCTGGCGGTGCATTTCCCAACTCAATTCAACTGTCACCAACTCCAAAGAGGAAAAAGGACAATGGCGGGCAAGAAAAAAGCATTCTGGTTTCTTCTTCTCTTTGTTTCAGGTATGAACATCTATGCTATGCTACTAGGAAGATTTCTCAAAATTTTGTTGTTAGTTTTAGCAATGTTTATCAGTTTTTTCTTGTCTGGTTGCCTAGAAACAGTGGCTGTCTAAGCAAAATTGCAAGTTTGAAAATGAGTTTCGGATAATTCTGTCCTATTTTTCAACTTTATTTTCGTACTACGGTTGTACTTAGTTTATTGGGTATGGAATCGCATATTGGATTAGAAAAAAGAAGTAAAAATTTTAATATAATGTGTATTTTTAGATATGTATGGGTTCCATCTATATTTATTGAGCCTTGTAACTGTCTCCAACAACTTATTTTCCAAGATACCACTATTTTTTTAAAATGGTGGAGCAAATTCACGTTTCTCGATAGAAAAAACATATTTATATTGAAAATGTAGTTTTAAGCCACGCTTTTCATATGAGCTACTGTAATTTTGGCAAATGAGTTATGGTAGTCGATGATAAACTTAAAAATCACAGCAGTTATGATTTGTATGAATATTTTGACAATAACTTTGGACTTTACTTTCCCAAAAAAACACTTTGGACTTCATAAAATCAAGAAACGCTCACAAGTTTAGCTCGTAGATGAGGGTGAAATATGAAGTCAAGTAGTCAACATCATGCATGTGGTGCATTCTTGTTTATCGATGCATTATGTTTTGTATTACAGAGATATCATCAAACTTATTATTAAATTTTCGATTCTTCTTCTTTTCATTCTTGAAGAACTTTTAGCTGCTGAGGAATCAAAGCAGCCAAAGCTTGGAACTGTGGTTGGAATTGATCTCGGAACTACATATTCTTGCGTGTGTGCCTATCGAAATGGTCAAGCTGAGATCATAGCGAATGATCAAGGAAACAGAGTAACTCCATCATGGGTTGCATTCACGGACGACGAACGTCTTATCAGTGAAGCCGCAAAGAATCAAGCGGCTATGAACCCAGACTGCACAATCTTTGGTGTTAAGCGACTCATTGGAAGAAAGTACGTAAAAGGGTTGAATCTAGTTTGATAAGGTTTTTGTAAGTATTTTTTGCTGTTTTCTTTGTTTAAGTACTAATGTTAATCACCATTTGTTTTTTGCATTTTGCTTCCTTATTTTGGTTTGTTTCTTCATCTAAGCTTAATATCTCAGATATAGCAATGTTTCTTCGTGTTGTAGAGTCAGGTTTGATAGTTGTTTTGTGTTGTGTGGTTTGAAGGTTTGATGATCTACAGGTTCAGAAAGATATGAAGATGGTGCCTTACAAGCTGTGAACAAAGATGGTAAGCCTTTCATCCAAGTAAAGATCAAGGATGATGTGGTCAAGCAGTTTAGTCCTGAGGAAATCAGTGCTTTGATTTTGGGAAAGATGAAGGAGACAGCGGAGTCCTACTTGGGAAAGAAAATCAAGGACGTCGTTATCACTGTCCCTGGTATATCTCGATTGTCTTAGTTCTCTTATCTCTTTCTTTATAGTATCATCTACCATAGAATGATAAAATTGTGCTACAGAAACAGAAACAATTGAAGCTTATCTATGCTTCCAACAAAATTCACTTGTCTATGTTTCCAACAAAATATTTTGAATTTGCTGTAAAACCTCTTTATATATGCTTGTAATGTTTGATATTTTTCTTTGTGTAGCTTACTTTAACGATGCACAGAGACAGGCCACCAAGGATGCAGGCGCCATTGCTGGGCTCAATGTGGCTAGGATGATTAATGAACCAACCGCGGCAGCAATCTCCTATGGTTTGGACAAGAAAGGAGGAGAGAACAACATTTTGGTTTTTGACCTTGGTGGCGGTACATTTGATGTCAGCGTGTTGTCCCTAGATAATGGTGTGTTTGAGGTTCTTGCAACAAACGGGGAAACCCACTTGGGAGGAGAAGACTTTGATCAGAGATTGATGGAGTATTTCATCAAGTTGATCAAGAAGAAATATAATAAAGATATTAGCAAAGACAAGAAAACACTTGGAAAGCTTCGCAAGGAATGCGAGAGAGCTAAAAGAGCCTTGAGTAGCCAGCACCAAGCTCGTGTTGATATTGAGTCACTTGTTGATGGTACTGACTTCTCCGAGCCGCTAGCAAGGGCAAAATTCGAAGAACTGAACATGGATTTGATCAAGAAGACAATGGGGCCAGCAAAGAAGGCTTTGGAGGATGCGGGTTTGAATAAGACAGACATTCATGAAATAGTTCTTGTTGGTGGTAGCACTCGGAGTCTCGGATTCCCAAGGTGCAACAACTATTGAAGGACCTTTTTTATGGAAAAGTGCCAAACAAAGGTGTCAATCCAGATGAGGCTGTTGCCTATGGTGCTGTGGTTCATGGTGGAATCCTCGGTGGCGAAGGCGGGGAAGAAATTAAAGTAACTGATCTTGCACTTGAATTGATCGACTCTAACAAGAGCTTGTTTGGAATCTAATTTCTTAAACAGATAGACCAAAGCAATCATTCAAAATGTATAATTTGGTCTTGCCTTGGTATTGAAACTGCAGGTGGAGTCATGACAAAACTGATACTGAGGAACACTGTTATCCCGACCAAGAAATCGCAGATTTTCACGACTTACCAAGACCAGCAAACTGCTGTTTCAATCAAGGTACTGCATATGAAAAAGGATTTTTTTTTCTTGGAAACATATTGCAATTGCATTTTGCTGCTGGATCTAATTTGTCTCCAGAAATTTGTAGACCTATGAAGGTGAAAGGAGCTTGACAAAGGATTGTCGTGTACTTGGAAGGTTTGACTTAACTGGCATTCCACCTGCTCCAAGGTGAGTTCTGGAAGATCTAAACTTTGAGAAAATTCTCCTTTTCGCCATTGATTCAGCCACGATGATGTAGTTACCGAGTCTTAGAAGGTTAAGAAAATGTCAAAACTTATTAGTTTAAAGAGTTGAACTAAAATGGCATATCAAGATACTGGATGTACCTCGTGGTAATTGATGCAAAATAGAGTGAGGGTGTAAAATTCTAACTAGAACTTTGGTCTTGTTTTCTTGTAGGGGTGTGCCTCAAATTGAGGTTATCTTCACGGTTGATGAAAATAGTATACTTCATGTAACAGCGAAGGACAAGACTGCAGGGAAATCACAATCCATCACGATCACTACTGACAAGGGGCATCTCAGCCAGGAGGAGATTGAGAAGATGGTTAAGGAGACGGAGGAGTTTGCAGAGGAGGACAGGAAGATCAAAGAGAGGATCGATGCCAGAAATNAATACTGAATTTTGGGACTTTTTGTGTATTTGATACATTGGATGAGCCACAAATATCCTTCCTCAAAGATCTTATTGTGTCATCAATTCCCAGTAATCAAATGCACATTTGCCACTACCCTGGAGCTAGGAGGCCTGTTACCACCTTTGGGAACCCAAGCAGTACTTGGCACTTATTCGACAGGTGCACAAGAAGAATTCTTTCCTCTGGTTTCAGCATGAGGAGATGTTGGATGAAAATTGAATAACTAAATAGGATATATTCTTACACGAGGAGAAGGGAATGACTAACACACACATCACACATTTCAGGTCTTCTGGACAAAAAAACCTTGAAAGAAAAGGACAGTCCATTTTTCAACTTCTTGTTTTACTCCATGTCAGCCTTCTCATTCTGCATAGGAAATTACTGACACCCAAACATATCATCATCATCTTAATTCTTTAAAGATCACCATATCAATAACTTTATGATCATACTGATCTATAGCTAGTTTTTTTTTCTTTTTATGATTAGTCATTGCACCTAGTTAGTACATGGATATGGTAGCACATAATAGGTGTACATTCACGTGCCTGAATAATACTTCTGTGTGATGTCTCTTCCCGACATGTAAGGAAACAAATGCATAATTTGAAGGCAAAACGTAATAAACAGTACAATGTTCAATAGGTTAAGAAATAAACACAGAAATCTTTGAAGTTTAAGCTTCTCCACAATCAGAACTACAACAGCTGCCTCTAAGGCTACCAAGGCATTATTGTGTTTTCTTGCTATCTAAGTTGACATGGCAGATGCAACTCAATTGCCGCATGAGTTTGAAACAAAAAGAGGGACAAACATATGTAAAGGTTTTGTCAAGGCACCATTTTTAAATTGAACATGATTTGTTCATTTAACAAAACTATAAAGAGTAGCAGACTCTTTAATTTAATATTGAGCCAAAAGGTGGCACAAAGGATGCATTGATTTGAGAATATAAAGATTAGCATAGAGCATAATTCTAAGCCAAATTCTCAGGTGAATCAGTCAATTTCATGTGATATCCAGTTATTCCTCTTATTAGGTCTCTAAAGGAGTGAAAAATTTGTAAAAAGAAGTAATAAGAACCAATGGAACATGATTGTATCAAGTTGCTAACCTGAGAAATAAAAAACAATATTAACAAATTCTTGAGTTCATACCATGTCATCTGCCTCTCTAAGAAACCCTTTATCTTCTAAAATACGAGCAAGACCTCGCCACCAAAGGAAGTCAGTTGATATGAATTTCTGAAACTGTTCATAAATGTGAAAAAAAAAATAATCACAAAAAAGCGTTGAAAGAGAGAAAAGAAAGAAGTTCAGAAATAATCCAAGATCAATATGATAAGAACAGCAACACAGTAATATACTTTTTCCAAGAGTCAAACACATCAGTCAACTACTCTATCCATGATTTGGACAATTAATACATGTAACAGCCGTTAATTCGCTACATGGGATCAAGAACAAGGATTGGCCAAGATGGTATATGCAGTCTCCAAAGAAGGGGTGTAGATTTCAACCACATTTTTAGTGTAGGTAATAGTTTGAAAAAAATGTCTTTTGTACACTAAGTTAGGGAGCCCGTTACTTTCTCATTCATTCAAAGTTTTGCTTTGCTGGATATTATATTTAGTAGGGGTACCTTTGAAATCCTTCATCATAGTGATATAATTTAAATCCTTAGAAAAAATAGAAACCCTAATACCTCTCTTTCTTTCTCATATTTTCTCTTCTTTCGATTTATTCTTCATATTCTCCTTCTTACTGCTAGCCGCTTTATACAGTAACTAAGGAATATGGTAGTTGCACTTGATAAAATCTAGTATCGTGATAGATATATTGTTTTTCCTATTCCCTTAATTTCTTCTTCTCTGGACCACTTACAATCTGCATCACATGCGGACATATCTTCATTAACGATCTCAAAAAACTATCACATGGGATTCCCATAAAAATCAATAGAAAAATCGATACATGCAAATAGTTAAAATGTAAAATCAAGATTAGGGTTTAGAGAGAGTAGAAGAGAAGAACGGAGAAAAAGGAGATTGGGGGAAATAATCTGTGTACGGCTATGTTGCCCTACATTTCTTATTTATAATAGAGAAATAATTAGGGTAATTACAATATTGCCCAATACTCATTAAATATGACCAGTACAAAAAATAAGAACTCTAACACTGCTCCTCAAGTTGGAGCATAAAGGTCAAAAATGCCCAACTTGAAACATAAATTACTGAAGGCAGACCGAGCTAATGGATTGGTAAGAATATCACTCAACTAATCACCAGACTTAATATATGGAGTGATAATCTCCTTACGCATTAGGAGATCTCAAATGAAATGGTAGTCAACCTTATTGTGTTTGGTATGCTTATGCAACAACTGGATTACTTGCAATAAAATAGTTGTTTGATTGTCACAATTCATCTTCATGGAAAAAGGCACATTAATTCCCATATCACAAAGTAAAGAGCGGACACATAACATCTCACATGCAATATGAGCCATAGCTCGATATTCAGCTTCAGCACTTGAACGTGTAACCATATTCTGCTTTTTACTACTCCAAGTAACAAGGTTATCAAAAATAAATGTACAATAGCCAGAAGTAGATTGTTTATCACTATGACTACCTGCACAGTTAACATCAGAAAAATCAATATCTGATATGGGTGATGATGAACGATATAATAACTCTTTTTCCGAAGCTCCTTTCAAATAATGAAGTATGTGACACATACAACATCCCAATGAGGCTAACGAGGAGCATGCATGAGTTGACTAACTATACGAACAACATATGTAATATCAAGACATGTCATTTTAAGATAAATTAGCTTACCAACCATCCTCCGATAATGCCCTATACCATCAAAAACTTATCCACTATCCGAATTTAACTTCACTATAGAGTCCATGGGAGTATCAATCAAACGCGCACCAAGAGTACTAGTTTCAAAACCGATACCCTCCATTGATTGGGCAACCTCAATCCCTAAGAAGTACCGAAAAAAACCCAAATCTTTGGTATGAAACTATCTCCATTTTGAGCAATACCATCAGAGTCATTACTACAAATAATAATATCATCAACATACACAATAATAACGATAACACCTGCAAAAGATTGACTAATAAACAGTGAATGAACTAAAGTAGAGCATTTAAAACTAAATTGAAGTAGCACTGTATTGAAATTATCAAACCAAGTGTGTGGTGACTGTTTTAAGCATTACAATGTTTTCTTCAAACGAAAAAGTAATTGTTCCCGCATAGAACATAACCTAGAGGTTGACCCATGTATGCCTCCTCCTGGACAGAAAAACATTCTTTATATCCAGTTGATACAAAGGTCAATCATAACTAGCCGTAACAGAAATAAGAACTCTAACAGAATTAAGACAAATTTCGGAGCAAATGTCTCACAGTAATCCACGTCATAGGTTTGAGTGTAGCCTTTAGCAACCAAGCGTGCCTTCAAACGCTCAACTGAATCATCAAGATGATATTTTACAGTGTAGACCCAGCAACAACTAACAGGGTGCTTACCAGGAGGAACAAACGTGAGGTTCCAAATGTGATGTTCATGTAAGGCTTTGATCTCCTCATCCCTAGTCAGTTTCCATCCAGAAAATGCCAATGCCTATTTCAAGGAGCTAGGAACAACTATAACAGACAAGGCTGATGCAAAACAACAAAAAGATGAGGGAAACTGATGCAAGGAGACAAAATTTCTAATGGGATATTAGGTACAAGTGCAAGTACTTTTTTGTAATGTAATGGGCAAATCAGAAGACTGTGAGCTAGTAGATGGCACACGAGGAAAAACCTCAGAAGAATCACGCATTGGCAAAGGTGCAGGAACATAGGAAGAAACCTATCTATCTGTGGATTAATGATAAACCTACAATGAAGGGTCAGAAGTCGATAAAGAAGAAGATATACATTTGGGTACAAGAGGCAACAAGNAATACCATCAGAGTCATTACTACAAATAATAATATCATCAACATACACAATAATAACGATAACACCTGCAAAAGATTGACTAATAAACAGTGAATGAACTAAAGTAGAGCATTTAAAACTAAATTGAAGTAGCACTGTATTGAAATTATCAAACCAAGTGTGTGGTGACTGTTTTAAGCATTACAATGTTTTCTTCAAACGAAAAAGTAATTGTTCCCGCATAGAACATAACCTAGAGGTTGACCCATGTATGCCTCCTCCTGGACAGAAAAACATTCTTTATATCCAGTTGATACAAAGGTCAATCATAACTAGCCGTAACAGAAATAAGAACTCTAACAGAATTAAGACAAATTTCGGAGAAAATGTCTCACAGTAATCCACGTCATAGGTTTGAGTGTAGCCTTTAGCAACCAAGCGTGCCTTCAAACGCTCAACTGAATCATCAAGATGATATTTTACAGTGTAGACCCAGCAACAACTAACAGGGTACTTACCAGGAGGAACAAACGTGAGGTTCCAAATGTGATGTTCATGTAAGGCTTTGATCTCCTCATCCCTAGTCAGTTTCCATCCAGAAAATGCCAATGCCTGTTTCAAGGAGCTAGGAACAACTATAATAGACAAGGCTGATGCAAAACAACAAAAAGATGAGGGAAACTGATGCAAGGAAACAAAATTTCTAATGGGATATTAGGTACAAGTGCAAGTACTTTTTTGTAATGTAATGGGCAAATTAGAAGACTGTGAGCTAGTAGATGGCACACGAGGAAAAACCTCAGAAGAATCACGCATTGGCAAAGGTGCAGGAACATAGGAAGAAACCTATCTATCTGTGGATTGATGATAAACCTACAATGAAGGGTCAGAAGTCGATAAAGAAGAAGATATACATTTGGGTACAAGAGGCAACAAGAGCTCCCCCTGACTAGTAGAGATTAAATCAAGGGAAAGATCATGTCCAGACGCGAGAAAAAATAAATAGGATTCAAAAAAGGTAATATCAGCAC